AAAAAAAAAAAAAAAAAAAAAAAAAAAAAAGCATACACATAGTAGTATGCTCTACAGTAAATACCTGGGAAACAGTCGCCTGGCTTATTTTAAGGCCTTGGTGTCTCAGGCACACCTTGGCAGGCCAAGGGTGGGGTTGGGTGCTGGGAGAAGGGACCAAGGGGAGGATGTCACAAGACTCATTATGCAGGGTGCTGAAGGTGCAGGCTGGGGGTCATAACCTGGCTCTGTGTGGCCTCCAGCAGGGCCCGCTTTGTGAGTCTCAATGTCTCCATCTGTAAAATGGGGATAACAGAGCCTACCTCTTGGGGTTGTTGTGGAGATAAGTGAGATGACAGGTAGATACACACTTAGGGCAGAGCCCAAGCATCAGCAGGCAGCATGAATGTGGGTGCCTCCTACTTGTGATCTGCTATCTTCCCTGCCTGCTCCAGTGGGTCCTGGAGGGCTCCTCATCTTTGCATCTGTGCCCTGCTCTCAATCCTTTTCTGTTGTCTCACAAAGAAAGTTCTCTCAGGGCCCAAGAAAGATTCATCAAAGGGAGAATCTGGTGACACAAAAGCAAAATGCAGGGTGTGGCCCATGCTGCAAAGCCCAGGGAATCAGAGGACGTGGCTTGGGCTGGTCTGACTGCTCTGACTAGGTCTTGGTTTCCATCCTGGCACAACGGGCTGCCGTCTCCTTCAAGCTGCAGCTCAAGTGGGGCTCCTTCTCCTCCCTCAGATGGAGGGTCTTCTTCCACATGCCCAGAAGCATTTTGCACGTGACTCTGAGGGGGTCCCTGCTACTCCTGGAGGCTGTGAACAGGCTTGTGGCTCTGGGAGGGCCCTTGGGGAACACAGCAGTAAACACATCTGGTTCCACTCCCCAGGGAGCTCACTGTCGGCAAAGGTGGTCAGAGCTGTCCCTAGAGAGGGGCCGTGGAACACGTGGTGGTTTTACCGTGTGGGCTGGACACCCGAATTCTATTCCCACATAGCCACCTCTGCTGTCTGCACCTTCACCATTACGTAGTCACTGGTGAAAATCCCACAAAACAGCAAACTCTGGCTTGGATCTGCCTTAGGCTGTCTCCGGACCTGGTTTCAGCGCTGGCGGGACTGCAGCCAGAGGTCAGCCCATCAGAGACTGCAGCTGGAGAGAGCAGCCCAGCACCACCACCGGCAGCTGCTGCTGGAGGGGCTGGCCCGATGGAAGACACATCATCTGGGGTGTGTCAGGAAGAGGGTGAGGCCAGCGGTGGCAGCTCTCCAAGATCCCCCTGCCTGGCAAGGGGTGTCCAGGCCGGAGACCATTTCTCAGGAAGGGGTCTCTCCAAGCAGCCGGTATGAGTGGTGGGTGGTTCAGGGTCCTGTAGGACAAGGCTGCAGGAGGCTGAGGGGTTGTCAGCCCCAGAATCCATTGTCTCCCAGGGAAGATGGCTTAGCAGAAAAATCTGGTTCCTGCTGACCCTCGGCTTATCAGTCCTGGGGGATCTACAGAGTCCTCTAGGGACTCCCTGGCTGTGCAGGAGACCCCTGGCACCATCCAGCAGCCCTAGCAATAGGAGGACATTCAGCTGGGCTGGGAGCCTCACCCTGAGGCTGGGTTAGGTCAGGACCCACCCCAGGACATCTAGGCTAGTCACTGTCTCTGCACTTGCCCTCCCCCAGCTCCTGCACAGGCAGAGCACCCAACTGCTGGCACAGAGACTTAGCCAGACCTGCTTCCGCCAGTGGAAACAACAGGTGGGAGCCCAGGAGACGTCCCCTCCGTACCCCTTTCTCCTTCCTCTGGCTTGTGAGGCCCGGGCAGTGAGTGACCTTTTAGTCACTCTAGCCCACACCTCTAGTTCAGTGTTTTCACTGTCACCCTCCCCAGGGCCACCTCCTCTACCACCTTCCAGTCATTTCCTGGCACCATCAGCTTCCTTCCATCTGTAGCCCGCATAAGACCAGTTACTCCAAGGCCTGGTTTCTCTACACTGTTGTATTAAAAAATACATCAGTGGGCTAGGCGTGGTGGCTCATACCTATAATCCCAGGACTTTGGGAGGCCAAGGCAGGAGGACCGCTTGAGCCCAGGAGTTCAAGACTAGCCTGGGCAACATAGTAAGACACTATCTCTACAGAAACAAAATAAAAATTAGCTGGGTGTAGGTAGTGCACACCTGTGGTCCCAGCTATTTGAGAGGCTGAGGTGGGAGGATTGCTGGAGCCCAGGAGGCTGAGGTTGCAGCGAGCTGTGATCATGCCACTGCACTCCTGCCTAGATGAGAACGAGATTCTATCTTAAAGAAAAAAATCAGGCCAGGCACAGTGGCTCTTGCCTATAATCCCAACACTTTGGGAGGCTGAGGTGGGTGGATCGCCTGAGGTCAGGAGTTCGAGACCAGCCTGGCCAACATGGCAAAACCCCGTCTCTACTAAAAATACAATTAGCTGGGCATGGTGGCATGTGCCTGTAATCCCAGCTACCAGGAGGGCTGAGGCAAGAGGATTGCTTCCAGCCTGGGCAGCAGAATGAGACTCCATCTCAAAAAAAAAAAAGCATAATATCTAAAAATTAATATAAAATGTGTTTTAAGGCTTTGCGGGGATCTTGATAAAAAGCCAAGAGGGATCATGCAGAGCAGCGCCTCACGTCCCCAGCTCCCTCCTCCCGCCCTATTGTCCCGTTCCACTGTTCCGGGGACCTCAGCCCGCTGCCTCCACGCATCCCCCTGCAGGAGCCTTTTGCCACCTTCTTTCTTAAAAGTCCTTCCTTGGGTCACAGATGGAGCGTGTTGAGCACCTCACAGCCAGGCATGGGGCTGGCCCTTCCTAGTGGAGGAAGGGGAGCCTCGATTAGAGAGGGGGGCGAGAGGGCCAAGCCGGGCAGGGCCCTGTTATCAGCACGGCCTCACTGAAGGGGCGATGGGGAAATGATCTGGTCTTTCTGGCCCTAGCTGGCAGCCAGGAGGCAGGAGCAGCAGGCGTCTGTGCGTGCCCTGTGGTTCTGGGCCTTCTCACTGCAGGCAAAGGTAATTGGGGCTCTGCATCCTGCCGTCCCTGTCTCTCCCTCAGGCCTAAGCCCTGCCTTGGGTGGAGGGAGGGCACTTGGTCTGTGGGGGATCCGTAAGCCGGGAGACCTGGGCCTCACCTCCTGTCCTCCCTGGAGGTGTGGGCCACGTGGCTGGCCTTTGTGCTGGAAAGGAGGAGGAAGAAGGCACGGCTGCAGCAGGCGCTCCAGGCCTACCAGGGGCAGCTCCTCCAGAAGGGTGCCATGCGGCTCCTGCGCTTTGCAGCCAGCATGAAGGCCTCTCGGCAGCAGCTGCAGGCCCAGCAGCAGGTCCAGGTAGGTCCAGGGCCCTACCCCTTCTTGTGAGGAGCAGGCAGGGTATGGCATGAGCTGACTGGAGGCTGTGTTGCAGGCAGCTCACAGTCTCTACCGTGCTGTCCGCCGCTGTGCCACACTCTGGAAACAGAAGGTACTGGGCTGGGGCAGGGAGCCTCAGCCCCTGGCATCCATCGCAACCAGCAGAAAAGTGACGTTTGAGGGTACCCTTCTCAACCGTATTGCTGCTGGGGCTGGGGATGCCACCCTGGAGACTAAGAGGCCACAGGCTCCTCGGCCTCAGGGAGCCCTGGGCCGCCTGGCTGCTGGGGAGCCCCATGCCCTGGAATTGTGAGTACCCCCATCCTCACCTTGTCTTCCTCGCTCACACCTTGGGCAGAAGTTTGGATGGCATATCAGGGAGGGAAAATGGGCCCTGATGGGATGGGATGGGCTGCTCATGGTCTTGTCACAGCTGAGCTGCTGGGAAACCCCTCTTGTGCGGCGAGATCCCGTCCCTCCCACAGCAAGAGGGAGAGAATGGAGTGGGATTTCCAGACCCTCTCTCCTCCTGCCCTCTCCCGTCCTGCTGACAACGATCTTTTTCGGAGTCATACACTAGTTGACAAAGGGAACAAGCTCAGCTCCTGCCTGCGCCTGCCAGTCTCTCTTCTGCTCCCTCACAGCCAAGACACTGGTTTTTTGTCAGAAGCCCCTCATTCTTGTGTGAGCTGGCACCTGTCCCTCTGCCCACCCCTTCTATGGTCTCAAACCCTAACCTGCCCTGCCCTGTACTGGTGAAGCTGGTGGCTCCCACAGCAACCAGTGCTGAGAGCCTTGGGGATCTCAGGTGGGTGCATGGGGTCTGGGGCCTGGTCCCTCCTCTGCCTCTCCCTGCCTGACCTTGATGGGAACCTGAATGTCTCAGGCTACTCCCCTGTGACATGGACCCTGGTGACCTGTACACCTGCATCTCCAGGGTTGCTGTGCAGGTCAAAAGAGACAATGTGGGTGAAGCACCCCCCTGGCATCAGGTACCTTTTGTCAGAACTGCTGGGAGCTCTCTGGTCCAGGCCCATCCCAGCTTACTTGCTGACCTTGGCCTCACCTTCTCTGACCTTTAGTCTCCCTATAAAATTGGAAGGGTCTGACTAGCAACTCCCCATCTCACAGAGATCTCAGACCCCCTGCAGCCCTTGGTGAGCCCAGGGGAATAGAACCCATGTTTCTTCCCAGCAACACTGCCCACTCATCGAGGAAGCAGCCGCGATGCCCACACTTCCTGCTGGAGCCTGTGCAGAGCCAGAGGTCCCTGGGGGTTGGCGCTGTGGGGAGGCCGGGGTAGGTGGTCAGGGGGCCCCAAAGGCAGCTGCCACCTCCATCTGGGACCTGTGTTTTGGCAGCCCTAGGGTGGGTGGCCCCCTTTCCTTCTTGTTCTTTGGTCCCAGAGGAGGGTCCTGTGGCCTGACCACACTTTTGCCTTCCCTCTGCTCAGGCCTCAGAAGCTGCAGGAACATGGCCTAGGCATGGCTCAGCCAGCAGGTCCCTCCCTGACACAGCCCTTCCTGGCAGAGGCCCCGACAGCACCGGTCCCACACAGCCCCCTGCCTGGAGCCCTGTCCAGTGCCCCTGGCCCAAAGCAGCCCCCGACAGCAAGCACGGGCCCGGAGCTGCTGCTGCTGCCTCCTTCCTCCTCTATGCCCTGTGGGGCGGCTGCACCAGCCAGGGTATGTCTTCCATCAGCAGGCCTGGGCACTGGGTTCCCACTCTTTGGTCGGGCTTCTGGTGCTCTTTCTCATACCACAGCTGTACTCGGTTTTTCTGGAAGACCTTGGCACAGCGAGGCCACTCATCCATTTGACAGGCGTAGGTACCCACCATATACCAGGTCCAAGGGTCACAGCAGTGAACAGCCTGTCAAGGGCCCTGCCATCCTGAAGCTTATATTCTAGGCAGACAAGCAAAGAAAAACCCCTGCAGATCAGTAAAGAGGCTGCAGATCACGTAGGGTCCTGCAGGCCACGGTGAGTAGTAGTCTGGGATTTGAGAAGAGTAGGAAGTCGGGGAAGGGTACGGGCAGGGAGCACCGTGTCAGGTTTCTGTGCAGGCTATGGTCACTATGACCACGTGGTCCAGGCAAGCAATACTGGTGGCCTGGGCTCAGTGGTTACCATAGAGGGGACAGATAGTCTCTTGGAGGCAGACAAGGCAGGACGTGCCCTGAAGCATTTGCTGAGTGAGGGGAAAGAAGGAATGCAGGCTGATTTGTGCTGCTGACTTGAATAACTCGGGGAACAGTGGTTCCTGGAAGGAGGAACTGGGGGGTGGGGACTAGTTTTGGGTGAAGCATCAAGAGTCTGTTTTGAAACCAGGCTCTTGATGTCAAGCTTGAGAGAACGCAGACGTTGAGTCTGACCTTCAGGGGAGAGGTCAGGGCCAGAGATCAAGAAGAGTCCTCAGCACAGCCGCAGCAGTCTAGGAGGAGAGTACAGGGGGAGGAGAGAGGGGTCGATGCTCCAAGCGGGGAGCCTGGGCAGGGACGGCCAGGGAGTGTGAGTTCAGTGATGGAGGTGAAAGCTGCTGTCAGGCCACCAAAGATGCTGGTTCCTGAATGGGGCTGAGGGGACAGGAAGGAGCCAGTTCCTGTGGTGAGTTTGGCCTTGTGAAGCCACTGACCCTGGCTAGAATGGGGTGTGGGTTTGAAAGGGTTTCGACCCCTGTCTGGTGATGTCTGCTCTCACCCGGAGAGGAGGGCATGGAGGAGGTTGTGGAGTACTGGCCTTTCACTGACCACTTCTCACGTCAAAGCTCAGCAAGATCATGAGCTCAGAGCAAGGTAGGGCTGGAGGGTTGGGTAAGGCTAGGAACAGCTGCGCAGGCAGTGGAGGCACAAGGCAGACTGACAATACAGGGTGCTGTTGGGTGCCTGTGAGACTTTCTCCTACAGTAGCAGGCCCTGTGAGCAGGGGCAGGCTAGACAATGAGCTGGCACGGCCACTGCTTGGAAAGCCCAGCTCCTGCAGCTGGGGCCTGGTCTTCCCCCACCCCTGCAGGGCAGGCAGTGCCCGTTCCCAGCTTCCTCCTAACTTCCCTGCTAAGCATCCACTCTTCTTTTCCTTTGCAGGTGTCAGCACAGCCAGCTACTCCTAGGCATATGCCCCAGCTCCCCCCATCCCTGGCCAGTGTCCCTGGCCCCCATCCACGCCTTCCTGGAGACTTCTCAGGCCCCAGGACTGGGCCTGGGCTTTCAACTGCAGGTGTGTACCTGGGGCCTGTCAGGGCGGCAAGCATTCAGGCCACTCCCAGACCTGGGACTTGCTTACCCTGGTCCCAGACAAGAAAATGGTCTGAAACCAGCTCACTCCCGTCACCACAGGCTGCCTAGACCTTGAGGCTGAACTTGAGGGGATCCAGCAACAACTACTGCACTACCAGACCGCCAAGCAGAACCTCTGGTGAGCCCTGCAGAACGCCTGTGGCCCTGGCCACGGGAGCAGGTGTTGCCTGGAAAGGTGGGCGGGAGGTTCCATTTCCCTGGCCAGCTGCCAGGGTCCTGTGGGTGGTCTTGGTCTAGCCACAGAGGGGTGTGGGGAGCCCTCAGTGTGTGCTGTCCAGAAGGACCCGGTCTCCACCATGGCCCTCTACCCGGCTCAGTACTGCTTAGGAAGGCCCAGGTCAGCCTCACCTGTGGACAGAGGCCCTCTTCCTAGGATGGGATGACAAAGTTGAGCAAAACTCTAAAACCCCGATGAGGCCATGCTGTCCCCAGTGACTAACTGTAACACCGATATTAAAGGTGCAGAGGAGACAGGCCAGCTGCACTCAGTGGTGTGGGGGCCATCAACATACAGCGGCCTCAGAGTTTCAAGGGCAACAGACTGGTGCCCTCATCCTTGGCTCCGCACTGGGAAGAGGACAAGGAGTGTGTTTTCGTCCAGGGCCACCTGAGCTGCTGTCTGCTGGGGAGGGTGGAGGAGGCTGGGAGAGGAAAAAGAACAAGTGTTCAGCTCCCAGGCGGGGGCCTGCAGCTCAGGGGAGGGGCCCTACCAGACCACCTTTCTCTCCATCTGATCCCCACATCAGAATTAGCTGAGGTGCCTCTCCCTGAGCCGGAGGGGGCTCCCCTAAGACTGCCAAGAACCCAGCCTGGCAGACAACGGATATCTTTACCCCTCAGGTCCTGCCAGCGGCAAGCAAGCAGCCTGCGCAGATGGCTGGAGCTGAACAGAGAGGAGCCCGGGCCTGAGGACCAGGAAGTAGAGCAGCAGGTGCAGAAAGAGCTAGAAGAGGTGAGGCCCCAGACCACCCCCAGGGACACCCTGGGCTGTGCTCCCTCTCAGTCCTGCCTGTCCCTCCCTGGCCCCAGGTGGAACTGCAGATCCAGCAGCTGGCAGAGGAGCTCCAGGCCCAGCGCCAGCCTATTGGCGCCTGCATTGCCCGAATCCAGGCCCTGCGGCAGGCCCTGGGCTAGCATGTTCACCCCAGGGACGCAGGTGCAGGGCTGTGGGGAGGCCCCAGGCCACCTGTAGGAACAAAGCACAAAGTTATGACTTTTATTTTTTTATTTCAAAATGTTTTGCAATTAAATGAATTACTGTTCAGAAGTCTCCCACTTTTCATACAAAAATACTGTGCTACTGATACAGTTGAAAAAATTCAATGATGTCTCTCCTGCAGGAGAAGTTCACAATGTCCTCAGGGTCAGCATGAACTCTGGCTCTGTCCACTGGGACAGGTTTTCCAGGTACTGACCAGCCATCCACCAAGGCTCCTCTGCCTCCAAGACAGACCCTGAATCCGTAGCAGCAACTTTCCCATATTTCACGTAGGGATATGGGAATGGGGACACAAACTCTCCCCTGTCCCTAGCTGGGCCTACCACCTGCCTGCTCTGTTCACTATGGCGCCATGAGGCAGGTTCAGCGATCGGTCTTGCCTGCTGCAGAGGACCTGGCCAGCTCCAGACGGTCACTGATCAGGTCCTGCAAAGGTCTGTATCATTAATCAGTCCTCGGAAGACACTGGCAGAGTCCAGGGTGATGCATTCAGCCACAAGCACAAAGATTGCTTTTTCTAAAGAGCAGGATGAGGTGAATTTGGGAACAGAAAGCAGTTGTCATGAAGGCTGTGTGGCTCTGCTGGGGGAGGCAGGGGAAGGGCTTCCACAGTCTGTGCCCAGGAGGCACCTCACCCTGTGCAGCAGGAGAGTTAAGGCCAAAAAACAAAATGGGCCAACAGAAAACAGCCCAGGTGATGGAGAGGAGCAGCAAGAAGGGATATTACCGGTCATCTTAAAATGACAAGACCAACTGAAGGTTCAGTCAGGAATGCGGGTCTCCCATTTATACAAATGTTTAAAAAGCTCCAAATGTGACAGATCATTCCAGCCTGCACTTTTTATTTGTAGGGAAGGAATGGGATACTTTGAGGGCATGACAGGGCTATCACCCCCTCTTTTGTACACCTCTGGAACTTGTGGGAGCTGAATCGTTCAAGTCCTACCTGGTCAGACTCCCACCCACCCCAAGGCAGGCCCTTACCTGGATGGCCTCATGGGCCTTCCCCTCTAAAAGACCCTCACTCTGTGTTTGGAAAAGATCCCTTAGCAGCCATAACAAGGAAAGAGGCTCTAGAGGGAGCCCAGGGCCTCCCCAAAGCGGATTTTCTGTCCTGTTTTCAGCTGAAAATTGAAGTCCTTAGGGGCCTCAAAGATCAGCACGATGGTGGAGCCCAGGTTGAACTCGCCCAGGTGTTCGCCCTTGCGCATGGGGACGCCCTCTCTGTTGGTGTGCGTCACAAAGCTGAAGTCATTGTAGGAGCCTTTGCTGTGCCTCGGGCTGTTTGTGTGCAGGTCCTGCGGGTGATAGGCTGGGGGTCATCGGGGCCCAGGCCGTGAGGTGCAGTGTTACCCCACGTTTGGAGTCCCTCTGTTGCTTGTCCCCACCACCACCCAACCCAACTCCAAAACGGAGGTGAAGATGGCATCTTACGGACAGGTGGGCCTGGTCTAGCCAGATGTCACACACAGCTTTGATACCTGCTGTGATCTGTCCAGAAAGGACAGGACCCAGTTGGACCCAGTGGTCTCCATGCATGGTGCTAAGTAAGTGGCTCCTGTGGGAGCCAAGGCCATTGGTCACAAACTGACACCCAAAAAGGCTGTCCCTGTGGGCATGGTGGGCAGCAGACCTGTGAGTACTGACCACCTCACATGCTGTAACCAACACAAGCCACCCCAAGCTCAACACTCCCTTTTTGTTCCCTCCATGCTCTCATCTTTAACCATGGTTCCTAGCAGAAGCCAGGTGCCAGGCAGGGAGGTAATTCCCTCATCTCTCCCAGCCACCTCCAGCCAGCACTGCAAAGAAGAAGGGAGGCCTCAGCCACCGGCAGGTGGAGCAACTCATTCTCAGGACAGCTGCTCAGCAGGGCCAGGCCTGACCAGAGATGTGGCCCCCTCTTAGAATTCAGTCCCAACACATCTAGCTGCACAGCAGACAAGGCAGGTAGACCCAAGAGGTCCAGCCCTTGGGCTTTCGCAGGGCCTGGATTCTGCTTACCCGGTCAAAGTAAATACGAATGGAGCCCACGTTGGTGGCCCCAACAGCCGTCAGTGAGAAGAAGCCATGTTTCCAGTCCCCCGTCAGGACCACCCGCTCATTATGGCAGAAGAGCTCTTTGATCCAGCGAGCCATGCCAGGGTTCACTGACATCAGGGAACCTGCAGAGGTAGGGAATGCTGCTACTGCCTGTCCAGAGCCTGTGTGTCTGCTCCAGGGCAGCCAAGACCCAGAGGGACTCATGGCCTATTGCCCCAATGTCATTCCACATGCTGAGCAGGCTGGAGCCCACGGTCCCCTGCCCATAACCAGCCTGCATAAAGCAGTCAGCTCCTGGCCTTGATGACCCTGGTATGGAGCCTGGTCCCCTGACACCAAGAAGCCAAGAGCCTCTGTGTGAAGCCATAGAGGCAGCCCTCCCACCCTCACGCTGGTCCTGGGCTGACCTGGGAAGTGGCGTCGGTGGGACACAGTCCAGTCAGTGGGAGAGTGGAAGCAGTGGTAGTCCCCAGGAGCCAGGTAAATGACACAGTGATAGAGCTCGTTCCCTTCTCGGGTGACCAGCTGGTTCTTAAAGGAGTCACATGAGGTGGCTGTGGAATGAAGTAGACATGGGGGCCACCAACACAGTGAGCACCCAGCACAGTCTGAGCATGGTCTGCACATGGATCTCAGGGAGGCCCCATACATGCCAGCCTTGGATCCTTCCCCAGCATCCCCTCCCTCCCGATCCACACACAGCAGCAGGGCTGCCCAGCTCCGCCTGTGCAGTGACCCACCTGGCGGGAAGGGCAGGTCCTCTGTGCAGGTACGTGGGCCCAGGAATGACTCCAGGGAGTAGGTGACCCCCTTTACCTGCTCTACCTCGCAGTTCTTCACCTGCCCAAAGTTGAGGATCCTTCCATCCGATGGGCTGATCTGGAAGGGCAGGAGGGCCTTGGTGTGAGGGAGTGCAGGAGACAGCCTCCCCTTCCCCTTGTCATCCTGCCCCTTCCAGATATGCTGGAGATGGGGGGTGCTGTGCTGGGCAGGGGAGGCCCAGCTGTGGAGTCAGGAAAAAGTCTCATTTCTTGCAGGAAGAAAGGGTCAGGCCTTACCACACTGTGCAGGCCACAGACAGGCCGGGCCTGTGGCTTCAGCTTGCGCCGGAAGAACTCGCTGAGGTTGCGGTAGTGATGCAGGTCCTCCACGGCCGCCTCTTTCATGTTCACCCCGAAGGTCCAGATGTACAGGCTATAGACAGGCCTACGCAGCCAGTGTGGCAGCTCCACCTGGTTGAGGCGGCCCCAGGCCCGTGACAGCAAACGTGTCGGCACTGACTTGTACAAAGCCACCTGCAGGCCACAGGGCATGGGGCTGAGGTGACCACACTGCCCCAGCTCCAAAGAGCTCAAGCGCTGTCATTAGCCCACCTCCCACTTCAGGAGAGAATCTGCGCCCCACAAAGGCCACCAGGGCCCTGGTACCCCACGCTGCTTTTGTGATGTGGCTGTTTATCACTGGGAACCAGACTGTACCTGCCAACTCCTGCCACACAGTGCTCGGTTTACATACAACTCGAGTGGTTTTCATCATTTGATGCAAAAGTCAAATAGCAACTGCCCCAGGCCCAAAGCAAGAGACGGCCAGCAGTCTTACTTTTTAAAGTAGGGGTTGGAAATGGATTTGACCCTAACTACGGTGTGTGACCCTAGCCATGGTGACCCCAGTATCACAGTGTGTGGGGAGGTGATGGGCATCTTGCCAGTCACTGCCCATATCCCAGGCCACTAGAAAAAGGAGGCGGCTCCCAGGTACGTGGAACAAGTCTACAGCCCAAAGTATGTCCCTCTTAACAGGAAGTGAGGACACCCTGAGCACCAACATCAGGGATTTTCAGACGTAGACCTGCATTGTCACTGTCACCTGGGCCTGAGCTGCAGACACAGGGTCCGCAGCCCCTCAATGTCCAGCCAGCCCTCTGAGGGCTTGGACGAAGCCAGTCGGAGAAGCCCAGCCCTGCTGAGCCCCACCTTGGCCCCATGGCTGGCTTTATGTTCAGTGTTCTGCTGTGACATGAGTCAGGACATAAAGCTGTCTGCACCTGGGGTTCCTCCCAAGAGGCAAAGGGAAGTCATTCCCTCTGTTCTCTCTTCCTCCAGGGAAGCCTGGAGCAGCTGAAGACAGACGATGGTCTGGGGACAGGCAATGGGTCCCACGAGTTGGTCCCAGAGCCCTCTAGCAGGGCCAGGTACCCAGGAAGTGGCAGCCTCTCAAACTTCAGGTGCTGCTGCCACTGTAGAAACTGCCTCTAATGGGCAACTGCTGCTTCTCTAAACACAACAAAGACACCAACTCCCCAAGGTGTAAAAGTGATTTTACTCCACTTTTGAACACCTCTCCAAGGTAAAAAATTAGCAGCTCCCAGAGAGCTGCTCTTACCCCTCTCAGCTGATGCTGTCATGCAGAAGGGCTGTGTGAGCCCCGGCCCTTCCCAGGCACAGGCTGGACCCTGAGCTAATATCCAGGATGCCTCAATGCCCCTGAGCTCCGGTGACACCCACCTGAATGTCAAAGGCCCAGGAACAGGGTTTCCTCCTCGGGGCCAACCAGCCTGGGAAGCCAAGGGCAAGAGCGAGCTCTCTAGGGACCAGGAGGGGCCAGGCCAGTTCCCTTGCACAGTCCTGGGATAGGCTTCTGGGTTCCGTTCACCCTAAGGGACCCAAACAAGCTCCATCTTTCCTGAACCACCTCTCCGGCATCCCAGAATTGGTTTGGCTTCTGCTCAAAATCACCTCTAAGCTTTTTTCTGCCTGAACACAGAAAAGTCAGAGACAGACACCATTTTCTGAATCCCCAGACTGGGTTCCTTCCAGAACCAGAGCCCCAAATGGCAGACACAAGGCAGGCTACGGGAGTGGACAGGGCATGGCAGGCCCTGGAAGTCACTCTTTCACAGCCCAGGTAGTGGCCTTCTCAAAAGCTGCCCTGCCCTTGCCCACCAATGAACCTTGCAACCCTGACCCACTGAAGATGTAGCTATGACATATGTTCTGACAGCCCATCTCCTCCTTGGTCTCTCCAGCACCTCAACCTCAGGCCTGCCCAGGGGGAGGTCCGAGCCACGGGGCTGCGCACACTTACCCTGCTCACAGGCCTCCATCCCACCCGGCTGAGCGGTCTGAGGGCGCCGAAAGGCAGGAGGTAGTAGAGGACGGTCAAGGGCCAGGAGCGCAGTTTCAAAGCGGGTCTGGACATGCAGCTCAGCTGCCCCAGCCTCCGCCTCAGGGCCAGCTGGGGGAAGTGCAACCTGCAGGGCACAGGTCCACACAGAGCCAGGTCAGTGGCCAGCCTCTGGGCAGGACCCAGGAGGTTGCCACCTGTACCCGGGGCAGAACCCCTCCTGTCTGCCCACCCTCGGCAAGCTGCCTCGCTGTGGGGTGATGGACCCCGGCAAGCACTGGCTATACCGCCTTGTCCCAATCCCATTCTGAGTCGGGCTGGGCTGCCTCTGGCTGGCAGACTCATTTCCCAGATTCTCCCACCCGCCAGCAAGCTGGGGAGGCTGGGAACGTGGGGGCAGCCGCAACAAAGGAGAGTCGGGCCCAGCTGTGGGGAACCTCAGCTGCAGCAGCTCCCAGCGAGGGCCTCCAGGCCCAATCACCTGGGCCCCGGGAGGGAAGTAGGGTGCAGGGCCTGCCTCGCATCTCTCAGCCTCCAAGGCCCAGGAGAGTGGGCCCCAGGGGTCAGCTCTACTGCACGGGCACGGGCACTGGCACTGGCACAGCAGTGTGTAGCACTGAGAAGCTGCGACCCATCCAGCTGGGTAACCATCTGCTGAGTCTTCTGCTACCATCCTTTGCGGGATCTGGGATATTCTTTTCATGGTTCCAGGCCCCGTTTCCTCATCTGCTAACTTAAGGGACCATGACCCGACAAGATCTCGAAAGGAGTACTTACACCTCCACACACCCCACCACACAGCTACGGCTCCATCCATTTGCATGGTCTTTCTATAACAGCCCAGGTTCTCCAAAACCCATCCACAGTTTTGTGAACAAAACCTCCCCACCACAAGTTCTCAAGCCACCTGCCTACTCTGCTAGGGCCACACAGACACACATACACATACATGACCCAAGCCCCTCCTTTCAGCAAAGGTAGACACACACACATACACAGACACACAATCCCCCTCCTTTCAGCAAAGGTGAACATACACACACACACACACGACCCCCCTCCTTTCTGCAAAAGTAGACACACACACACACCCCAAGCCCCTCCTTTCTGCAAAGGTGGGGACACACACACACACACACACACACACACACANAAGTAGACACACACACACACCCCAAGCCCCTCCTTTCTGCAAAGGTGGGGACACACACACACACACACACACACACACACACACACACACACGACCCAAGCTCCTCCTTTCTGCAAAGGTGGGCAGGCCTCTCCCCACCATCCCAGCATAAATGCAGGGCAGTCAGCAGGGGCTCAGCTTCACCAGAGCCACAGAGGCTGGACGGGCCTTTCCATTAGAACCCTGGCCTCCTGAGCCAAAACAAGGCCCACCCCATCCTGTCCATGCCTAGGCCTAGCAAATGCTCCTGAGGCCCAGGGTAGCCTGCAGGACACCACATTGCCATCCATTCAGAATGTCCCCAGGCCTGTTTCCTCATCTGCAAAGTGACTGCATTTGGCTAATCTGCTGCCATCTGGGACTGTGCTCTCAAGAGAAGCTGACTCCTCTCTCCCAGTTGCTGAGCAAACCAAGGAACAAAGCGGCATTTCAGCTGATAGCAGCAGCAGAGCAGACGGGAGAGGCAAGCCGGCAGTGAGGCCCTGCTCAGTTCGGAGGTGGCTGCATCCACAGCTCCTGGGTGCCTGCTTTCTCTCCCATCCCACCCAGTGTGTTTTTAAAAGGTCCAGGAAGGCGGCAGGGGCCAAGCAAAGACAAATCACTGCTCCCCTCTGGCTTCCCACCTGTCCTGCTCACTGCAGAAGTGCAGGGACCAATCCGAGAAGAGCTGCACCCCTCCTCCCAGCAGGAAGGGGGATGGGGAAGCCTCTCTCTGGGGGTGGGGCGGGGGGGCGCACAGAGGCAAGGATCTGGGGTGGGAGGAGGGGGCCTGGAAACACCAGGGTGGGGAAGACGGCAGGCATGAGGTCTGAGACCCACTGGCTGCCTCCCCCTGCTGGGCCCTCCTCCTGGTTGGAACCAAAGGTACCTGAAGCGGGCTCTCCGACTCAGGGCGCTCAGGCCCCCCACGCCGGGCCCCTCCAGCCTCGGGGGCTGACCACCAGTCCCCTTGCCGCCACCTCCACTGCGAGGCCGCTGGATGTGAACTCTGACCTTCCGGAGGTCATGGCGGGGAGCCGTGGGGTTAGGGCGCGGTGGGCAGCATCTCACCATTTCGCCGCACGGAGCTCTGGTCCTCGCCGCGCCTCTGACTGACACATCATGGGCCGGCGCAGGGAGGGTGGGGCGAGGCTCACTCGCTCACTCCCTTTGTTTTCCTCTTTCCTCCCCTTCCCTGGAGCCAGAGGATCTCCTGTGCTGTCACTGCTTCAGGGCCTCTGCCTCCACGAGGCCGGTTGGTGGCGCCACTTCCTGGGATTGGTTCAGTCTCGGTGGCTCGCAGGGTGCAGGTTAGAGGGTCAGGGCTACTGCAGACAGACAGGCACTGGTCACACACCTGCTCAGGTCACCTGCTCAGGGCTTGCAGCCCAGTGCAAAAGCCCCTGCACTTAAGCCCACTGTCCCCAGGCCTGGCAACCTGCATTGTCCCTGCTGCCTGGGGCTGCGCCAGCCTGCACTGCTCATCCTCCTCCTCAGCTGGCCTGGGGAGCAGCAGTGGGGCAAGGCCCTTGGGCTGCCTGATCCAGTGAGCCATGACAGGGAAGGGACCAGCCAGTGCTGCCAGGGCTTCCGGGCACCTCTCAGCTCCAAACACACAAGGTGGGAACCTGAGCCGTGTGCTCCCGGCCCAGGCCCTGTGCCATGTACACCGGTCTGTGGTTTGGCCCCTCCCTCGCTAGGATCTGACCCATTTTCGATTCAGGTTACAAAGTAGCATCTGAGGATTAAGATGAGAGGGGAAGCCAGGAGAGGTGCCCTGGTGAGAACCTGGCCTCTTACCTGCTCCAGGTCTCTCCTCACCCCTCTGGCTTTGACCCCTCCACCAACACACACAAAATACATGGCTCCTCACTCCAGGCCTCCTCAGAAGCTGGGAACAGGCCAGGACTGCAGCCCAAACTAGTTCCACCCCTCTTTTCCTATCTTTGCTTCAGAAAACACTTAGGCCGGGCCCTGCCTGGCTGTCTGGGAGGACACGCCCGGTCCCTACAAAGCCTCTCCACACTGGCTTGCACAGATAGTGGAAGGACACGCCCGGCCCCTACAAAGCCTCTCCACATTGGCCTGCACAGATAGTGGCTGCTATCTCAGCCCAGGTAATCCAGACCCTCCAGGATATGGGCTGACAGGGGCCCGGCCTTCAACCCTGACCACTACTGCTCAAGAAGAGGGCAGGCACCTGTCACCATCCTTAGATGATGAAATGTGGTTCCAAGAGCTGCTGCCTAAAGCAAAGAATGGGCCAGACAAAACCAGCACACTGTAAGCCCAGCTCAGACGTGGTTGTGGCCGCGCACAGTCAAATGTCTGACACCCTGGCAAACCCTCCTCACCCAAAGAAGTGAACGTTCCACCTGGGCACCTGCCTGCAAGTCACCTAATCCCTGAGTATGGGATTCAGTGGCCTCTCAGAACAGGACAGTAAGGTGACTAAGATCTGGACACGAGCGTGGATTTCTCCCCCTGATCCAGGCAGTGTTGGGCTAGTTCAGGCCCCTCTCCTAAATGACTGGCGAGGACAGCTCACGGCAGATGGGCCAGGCAGGAGGGCACCCATCCACCAGGCCTCACCCTGCAAACAGATACACACCAGCATCCTCCCCCGGGAAGATGCGGGCACCAAGAGATCGGCACCGGCACAAGACGCCCATCCTGTCACCAGGCCCAGGCCCACGGCTCCACAGACACCCTGCTTCAGCCCTCCAGGGCCATGTCACTGCAACCACTCCACACATGTAGGGAGCACACGCCCCACCCTCCCTGATCCACCAGGCTCCATGCTGGCCTCCTGCCAGCTGCCAGGGAAACAGAGGGGTGACAGCAGTCAAGGGTGAGCCTGGTGCCTGGTTCCAAAGGGGAGGCTCTTTCGCTGGTTGATAGAGTGCAGACTTGGAGCTGAGCTCACAGCCAGAATCCACAGGGAGGCAAGGGTGGCCTTGTGGGGAGACGGAGAGGAGGGGCTTTGATGACACCAGCCTTCTGCCAGTTTTCCTCACTTACCTACCCTGTGGGACAGTGACCACCACAGCCCTGAATGTGTCAGAAAGACATGAACCCACATAAACCCAGCTCAGCCAAAAACCTTGAGTTCTCAAACCAGGTTCCCCTGTGAAAACCTTGATGTTTCGTTCTCCCATGGTGCTATGAGGGGCGGGGTCTGGCCTCCAGTCTCAGGGCACTACTGAAGAATTAAAGCACACGAGGCCAGGGGGCACGTCAGATGCCCATGAGGGAAAGGTGGGCCCTGGCTCAGAAGCTAGAGGAGGATGGCCCAAGGAGCTGCTGCCCTGGCCCTGGAGAGACTCTAAGAACCATCCTGAGAGGCCAGGCTGGGGCACCCCACCTGCAGGTGCGCCCAGTGAGAGGCAGGGGGTCCCTGCCCATTCAGATCCTTGCTTTATCACTATTCTACTTCTTCTAAAACAGGCACCGAAACCAGCGTGTCTGTGCCTCCAAATCACCACCTGATGGCCCCAAAAGATCACCATGGAGTAGAATGAATCCAGCTTTGCCCCAGAACACAGGCTGGGCACCGTCTGACCCACTAAGAGCTGCAGGATGGAGGGAAGGGGCCCCTAGAGGTCACTGCCTTCTCAATTCCCAAGGGTAAAGCCACTTCGTTGGCCAGCAGTTTCTGGCCTCCTCATTTCAGAGCCCAGGTTGCCCTCTGCCTGTGACAACCCTGGGACGCCAAGCCAGAGATTTTATCCTCTGGCTGTCTGAGGGTGACATGGAGAGGGAGCCTCAGGCCCTAGATGAGGAATTTGCAAGAAGGGTACCCAGAATCGAGGAAGCACTGACACTTTCCCTCCCATGCCTCAAAGACACTCTGTGGAGATGAGTTTAGGGTTGTGATCAGTAGGACTTTAATGTCATTACATGGCCCGAGGGCCAGTCACCTGCAACAGGAGAACTCAGAGCACTTTGTGGCTGGTGACAACCTGGTCACTGCAATCCTGGCTGCCTTCCTCCACCTCCACCCTGAGAGCAGGGAAAAGCCTTGGCAAGTCACAGGTACTAAGTCTTGGTTTGTACATCTGGAAAATGGGAAAGGAAATTCCTCCTGCCCACCCCCTTGTGGCTCAGAGCACAGCTGCAACCATGGCCCGGAACAACTGCTTAGAAACCCCACTTTCACCCAGGAGCTTGACGCTGCCTCACCTTACCCTGCAGACCTGGCTTCAACACCTCACCTCTCTTTCCAACAAAAAGTCAACCCCACACTCTGGTGGGGGCAGGGGTTTCCACCACAGGGAAGACGGAAATAAAAGGGGCTTAGGTGGCAGTTCTAAAACAGGAACCCAAACCTTGGGGGCAGTGACTGGCCTTGCGAGTAGGAAGCAATGGCTGATAGGACCATATGGGGGACTGGGGACCACCTTTGCCAGGACATGCTGTCCTGGGGATCCATACCAGAGCAAGAAGGCAGTGTCCTCGCCCATCCCTCACCAACCGGGGTGAAGACCACAGTACCCTCCCTCAGTGGAATGGAAGTCGATGCATGGACCCAGGCCAAGCAGCAGTTACTACAGGTGTGGGTTGGGGCGTACAAGCATGTGTGCATGCAGGGGTGGGGGTGTGAGTGTAGGTGCAAGGGTGTGAGCATGCCGGATATGTGTGTAGGTGCGAGGGTGTGTTCATATAGGTGTACATGTATAGGTGTGAAGGCATGTGCAGGTAAGGGTGTGAGGGTGTGTGTGCAGGGGTGTGTAGGTGAGGGTGTGTGTGTAGGTGTAAGGTTGTGTGTGGGGTGTTGGTGTGTGTGGGTGTAGGGGTGTAAGTGCAAAGGTGTGTTATGCATACAGGTGGTGTGTGTGTAGGTGTGAGGGTGTGCATGTAGGTGGTATGTGTATAGGTATGGGTGTGTGTAGGTGCAGGGGTGTGGAGCTTCAGGGTGTGTGTAGGTGGGGGGCCGTGCACTGCCCCCGGGGGGCGATGGGCTTTCTCCCCAGCTCAGTTGAGGCATGGCCACCCGGCAGTAGCTTTCGTCCAGTGGGGCGACAACCCTGCCTTCCCTGCGTTCCAGGGCTAGAAGCAGGCAAACTTCCCAAGTAGGGGCCCCGGGAAAATGGTCCTCCCTGGGCGTCACGGACCAGGGAGCAAAGAGAAGGGCCCAGAGGCGCCTTTCGGGCACAGTCAGTGGCAGGCAGCCCCGGGAAGAGGGCAAGCAGGACTCGCAGGGATCTGTCCCAGCTGCCCAAAGACACAGAACCTCTTCTCAGACAACTCTGGGTGCTGTGGGGAAACCGGCTCTGGGCAGAGGCAGCGAGCCTGCCACCTGCCTCCCTGGCCCTCAGGCGCTGACCCGCCCGACCCGGCGCTACCCTCTTCCCAGGCGCCCTGACCCCAGGCTCGGCAGCACGGAGGAGACTGGAGCTTTCAGGGCCTGAGGCGCCCCAGCCCAGGCCCCCACAATGCCAGCCGGCACCCCCTCACTTCCCGCAACTGCCTCACTTCCCGTAAGCCCCGCACTTCCCGCACCCGCCCCAGGCAGGAGATGGACGTGGAGGAAGTGATCTCACGCAGCCGGGCCGTGCCCACGAGGGGAGGGAAAAGCCCACGACTCGCTCAAGGCTGTCCAAAGGGCTCCTCAGGCCGGGGCCGCATCGTCGCAGCTAGGAGGACCAACCGACGACCGAACGCGCTAGAAGGGCACCTCCACCCGGGACTGGTCCTCTGAGCGAGTGGGGCGGGGCGGGGCGCCTCCCTGAGAAGTCACCTGTGGCTCCTGGTCAGGCCGGGGCACCGGCTCCACTCGCTCACTCTCAGGTGGCTCCAGCTTCCGGGCTCCAACTCCCCAGAGGCGCTCCCAGAGCCGGGAAGCCTTGAGGCGAGTGGGCGGGGCCCAGGCTCCAGCCACTCAGACTACCAGGGGCGGGGGCAGGAGGCCGACCCCAGCCACCCTTAAAGCCGCAGCTCCCTCGGAGACCCAGTCCTGCAGCTCCGTCAGCCCAACCTCAGGGCCCCTTTAAGAGGAAGGGCCAAGGCTAGGGAGAAGGGGAAGGGCAGCGGGCACCAGCTCTGCCTGGTCACGGTCACGGTAGGACCCCTGCTCAGGCAGCAAGGTGGGCCTGGCTGCTCCCAAGGGATACCTCCTGCCTGTCCTCGGTCTCTGTGCGCTGGTCTGTGAGCCTCCTGTCCCCAGCCTGTGGCTGGCCTCCCAGAGCAGCTGCCTTCCTTCACCACCCCCCACCCAACACTAGGCGAACGCAGGACCCCACGTGCTGCTGTCTTCACTGAGGACCAGCTTCTTCACTGGACTGAACAGAAAGCTACCCCTGCTAGTCCTGGAAGCTCCGGAGAA